GTTATGCTCTTTTTGCAGGAAATATATATATTTCACCACAATCTACACTTAATTCCTCTCGACCAATTATCCTATGGTTGGGATCTCAGAAATTCTTCTTGTTCCTTCTCTTGACATCCCCTGTAAAGAAATAGGCGAGAAAAATATTGGTCCGAAAGTCGGCTGAATCGGGAATATCATAGGATTCAAATTCCTTAGTTTCCAAATTTTCTTTCTTTCTTAATCGTTTGGCTCTATTGGTCGAGAGGAATAAAGTGTAGATTGTGGTTTAAAAATTAAAGAACTGACTTAAAATATTCTTATTATATATATTCATTTATAATATTGTTTTATACGAGTATGTATCGAATTAAAAGTTTTATCGAAACATTAGATTTTAATTCTCTTATACGATGAGAGAGAAATACTATTCTCTCGTACATTAAATATTCCGAAAGTCAGATCTCAGATCGAGGGAACAATACGACGGCGAATTTCTTTGAAGATTCACCGAAAGCCAAAGACTTTAACTCCTCCCTCCAAGGCGCTAGACCGCATGATTGCCGTAATTTTGACTCATTACAATTACGCTAATGCCCGGCTATCAATTAGCGGAGGCTAAAGAGGTTCGCATTAAATATAATAGATAATATCGTCGTCGTTGCGAATCGTTCGTTCGTTTGCTATGCCTGGGGTCAGCGCGGGAATGAACGATGATAGGAACGATGATGACTGCCATGAATTAAGTTTCCACGGTAAATCTTAATGACTAAATTATATACGTCTACAAGAAAGCGGTAGACTTTTGTGTTCCACAGTAGCTGAGAAAATATTGTTTAAATGTCCAAATTATGCCGGCTTACAAACAAAGAAAATATATGTACCTACATGTATAATATATACATATGAACAGCTATCATTCTCACAACTACTTGGAAATGCATTCTTCAAATTAATTTAGCATGTGATCAATTTTTTTATCGATACAACATGTTATTTTGACGAAATAGCAATATCCGAGAAAGAGAAATACGACAACATTTATTTAAGTATATATTGATTAAAAAGAAGAAACAGAATATAAATCTTTTATTCATAAATTAATTAAATTGATATTGAAATGTTGAGACGTAAATAACGGAATTCTGCGTTGCACTAACCATTAATTCTCGGTATGTATGAATGACAGGCCGAGTATCAGAGAAGATATTCTTTTTACCGCACACACAGTCGGAAGATAAACGGAGAGAGAGAGAGAGAGAGAGAGAGAGAGAGAGAGAGAGGGTTCAACGCGCGCGCGTTTCAAAGCACGTGCTATAATTCCATTCGGGCCGGAGATCTCGTCTCCGAAGTATAGTAGTAGTAGTAGTGACGGCTGTGGATGTGAACTTGATTTTCCTTGACTTGCCCGCATCTCTTTTTGCCCTCGCCCGCTCGCATCTGCGATCGTGCATTCTTAAACTTTATCTTCCGACCGTAGGCTTTTTACCGCGCTTATTTCGCGCCTTATAAATATATAAAACAATCGCGATATGCTTCCTCTTTGCTTTAATAATTGACGAATACCGTACAATGTTTCAGATTGAATATACAGGCCGTATTCAATCATTTACCTACTCGTATAAATGCCTCGGATGACATTAATTCAGGCACTAAACGTTATTCCTCCGCGTTCTATCATCGACTCATATTTTGATGATTTATTGCCCAACGTATGTGACGCAATACCCCTCTCTTGAACCCATAAGTGCACGTTTAAACGATAAATCTTGGCAGTCAGGGTGGAAGGCCCTTTTCAGGTTTCCAGGTACGGTGCAGATTCGTGTCACTTGCTTATCGATATACACCTTCTTAGATATATTCTATTTGTCGAATGATATTAAATTCACAAAATATGTATATAAAATTATATTGTAGTTATATGTACATATAACGATCACTTTTCTAGATTTCATATAATTCTGTAATACAGTCTTACATCTGACGTTAACAGAAGAAAGAAATTAATCGACTGTCGGAAGAAGAAAAACCCTCTACAATTATTTAATACATTCTATTTAATATACTATTTAATGGTATGAAAATTTGTAAAGCGCTTTACGTTGCACGCAATTGTTAATTTTACGGTTTGTATCTGTCAATTGCTAATTAGCGTCGCTGCAACAATCGATAATACCGCGATAAATTTGTGGCTTTGTACGACTGGAGTATAAGCCAATTGATTCTTTCGACGCTAACAAACAATGTGACAAATACATCGCTAAAACATTAATCAATAAGCCATAAATTTGTTCCGCGCTTCAAATAATAACCGCGATATATTTTTAGCTAAACACATATACGTGGGAAATAATATTCAAAGCGGGAAGAATTTTTCTTCAGCCGAATATAAATATTACGTTTAATTTCTAATTATCTCTTGTAAGATCAATTCTCTGCTCGAATCGTTTTTACACATCGCGTAGAATATAGATTTATTTTTCTTATATATACAGCACCCTTCGCAAATTTAAAAACACCTTACATTTTACAGTTAAACAATGGCATGGCAGCGATCTGTCATAAATAATAACGTCGTTTAAATATTTTATGTTTATTTTACGATTTATTCGTACAAAAAATCTGTACGGATCTGTCAAAAGAATCTTCTTAATTTAAGAGAAAAATTCTGGAAAGAAATATTTTTTAATTAAATATTCGTAACATGGAAGAATACCTATATACTTAATGAGATGTTTTTATCAGTATATTATTTGAAATATTATTAATCGTGATAACAAAAAACAGCCTAATAAATGCACATTTATTATTTATCGCATACAGTACCCTTCACAAGTTTGAAAACACCTTATATTTTACAGTTAAACAATCGCATGGCAGCGATTTGTCATAAATAAAAATGTCATTTAAATTATTTTACGATTTATTCATACAAAAAATCTGTAGAGATCGCTGCCATACGATTGTTTAACTGTAAAATGTTTCCAAACTTGTGGAGGATACTGTATCTATACGTCCGACATATTTTTCATTTGGTCTTCTCGTTCGATGATGCCGCGATTTGACTTCAAGCATCCTGTGTAGGTAGGTATAGATTTTGCCGGGCAAGATTTCCAGTCAGCTCGAAGTCAGGATTGACGCCAGTCGGAGCGATTTATCAGAATAATGCACACGCCATTACCCCCGTGTCCCCACCTTAACCGAGATCTTGATTTCGCGCAAAGTTCCATGTAAGGCTCCGGTTTTCTTTACTTACTCCCTCGTAACTTTCAATCTACGAGCAGCGATATTATTGCACAGATCGCGTCAAAATGTAAAAACACGTGTCTCACATATTTAGGTGGTTTTGCCAAGAATTCTAGAGTAATGCTGTTCTGTCGTAGTGAAAAAATTAAAATGGCGATATAGAAAATAATATATTACTGCTATCAGATATATGTACGTTATGTATCCAATGGAATTAAATCTGTGAAATTTGTCATCAATTTTTCCACTCGCTTTTTCTTTCTTTATTTATATATACATATTTTAATCTGTTGACATTATTTCTCACAAATTGATTAATTATATTAATATTTAATGTGTTTTAGCTTTAAAAACATACATCATAATTAATGTATATTAAAGTCTCTCTCTAATCTGTGCCATTATTATATACCTGCATATATGTACCTACATATACATGTGTGCGTATGTGTGTTGAAATCTGAACACTCTGGAAAGCAACCAAACAAATGGGGATGTTGTCGTGGACACGGCTACCGTGCATTTGTTTGGTCGTTCCGCATCGACCGGATCATATTAATCTACTGCTAATGAGCAGCCCTGATCAGAGGTAGAGACGCGCGAGTTTTATCTCCAAGATACAGAAAACGCCCTCATTATGAATCAAGTTGAATGTGCCTCGTAGCCGGCTTAATATTTAACGCGTCTCGAATCGCTTCATCACCCCAATATTTTTTCAATCTGAAGATAGGATTAGACTGCGTTTATATAAAAGGCGTTTCGAAGCTGGAATGTGAAGTTACGCGCCGGAAAAAGACCTTCCTGTTAATGGCAAGTAATTCAATAGAAATCTTCATTATATATTTCGCCTTTGAGGCGATTGATAATTAAAGTTCCAAGATGATTCATCTTCGTTGCGTCTCATAAATACTTATTTCGCGCAATTTTTACATATAATATAACAAGCTAATTCAACAAGACATTTCAAGATCATATAAAGCAAAAAACAATGTTCAAACAATTTTGCATTTTGCATATAAAACTTGTTATATCTACATACGTCTATTTTTTAATTATGATATCTATTTTGAAGCGATAATTATCGACTGTATTTTTCTACTGATTATATATAATGACAGCTCTTTGTGCTACAGCTAATTAGTTAATAAGCGCTAGAGATTGTTTTAAATAAACCACATTCAGCTTCTAACAAGCTGTTTCATGGCCGATCCGAAATGATTTTTAGCCTCTCTGTCCCCTTTTGCGCGCTTCTCTTTGTTTCTGCGGGACTTTTACACGTGCCGTACCATTAATCGTTCGATTAAGTCGCCTGATAACTCCCTCTCGAGCTCAAATCTTGTTCGCGTACCGCCAGCCGGCGCCATAACTCCCTAGTTGTAAGCCGTATTACAGGCTTTGGAGGAACCGTATAGAGGAAGAGACCCCGGAGGAACTATACGACCGCCTACCTGGAACATCACAGGCGCTTTTTCAAAGCCGCGATTTTTTTTATTTCACTGCAACGCGTGTGTATCGCGAAATTATTCTCGAGGGGTGAAACATTCGAATAACACGAAAGTACACTCTTATAAGATTCAGAAACGACTGGAAAGGTGCTCGTGTTGCTCCAAACTTCATTAAGCTTTTTTAATGTAGATCTGTAGGTTTCTTCTTCTTGAATAAATAAATGCTCAAAAGTGCAAAAATAAATGATACGCGTATCTACACGTGACTATAATTATTAATTTATGGCATATGATTATTTATTAATTAATTATACATTATTATTGTTCCAGATACTTGAAACTGAAGAGGCTAAATTATATAAATAGAACAGAATTAAAAAGAAGAAGAGGAAGAAGAAATAAAGAAGAAAAAGAAGAAGATACTCGAAACCAAAATCTGATGTAATAAATCGAAAAATAAAAAATTAAATTAAAAAAATGTGTCTATTCTATAAATACATTTCTATGCAAACTAGAGATGCTAAATATTGCATTTCCGATAGCTTCGTACAGCAGATCTGAATACCGTGTACGCGAATGTCATCCGGTTGAAAATAGTCCTTGGAACGGAAGCAACAAATAATCGGTCGAGGTGTGGATTTAAACTGTGCGCGACGTGCACTCGTCATAATGGGGGGAGGCAGAAAGAAATAGCAGAAGGAAGAGGACGGATGCAGGCGAAGATCGGTAGAGACAGGAAGAGATGGAAATATTCTGGGAGCGCGCGTTCTCTTCTTACGTGAGTGTATACGTGGACGCGCCCCATATAATCCCGACGATGCCAGTCTTCTCTCTCCGCCTTGGAGATCATCCCTGATCCGCGTCGAGAAGTCATTTTCATGCAAACGCTTATCATTGCGGGAGCACATGTGATTTTCATAAACGTAGAATCAATTTATTTCATAGATCTGTCTCATCAATTTCAGAAACGCGTGTTTCTTCAAGTATTGTGCACATTTATAAGCACATTAATTTAATTTGTCGATAATATTCCTAAAAAAATGTTTACAAGATTTTTATATGACATATGATATGTGATATAAAATTCTTTTAATATAAACGAATTATATAAATTATATAAAACAAACTATAATATATAAACTTTCTTGTTATGTAAAAATCTAGAGATATATATATAAACATGACTTACTATTTATATATGATAAATAATTTATGATTACATGTAAATAATTTTTTTATATATAATTTAAAAAAATAGTTGAAAAAGAACAAAATGATTATATAAAAAATATAAACATTTAATCGCCCCTACGTGCAATTTACAATGTGCCCGACTTTGCCGTCCAAAGCAAACCATATGTCGGACATGTCACTACGATTTATTGCGTTGACACGTGTCTCTGTTGCGTATTTCGTTTTTTCGTAATTCTCCTCTCTCTTAACGACGATTAAAATACACTTTCGAGGATATAGAACGATCGAGTTTCTTGAATTCTTGCGTGTGTGTGTGTTGTTGTTGGTAATATTTATATACAACATTTCTATATTACGAATGAGAGATGTAATAAATATGAATTGTTTCGCGTAATTTGCGCAATCCAAAAATGATATGTAATCTATTTTTGGTTTATATACGTACACAGTGTTTTGTTTGGCTCGAATAAAGAGCGTGATAAATTTGCAAAGAATTTTGCTTAAGCGAAAATGTTGAATTCAAACCGATCATCATCCAACGCTTAATACAAACTTTATAAAATATCTCGCGTAATAAAAAGGACGCAACACACACTCCATTACTGCTCTATTTGCAGCCGTTGGAAAAGGCACGTAAAAAGGAATATCTAACAACCGAGGGTTGAGTAATGGATTATATTCCTTCCTGATCGTGGGTATTAAAAAATGGTAAATGCTCTTAATGACGGCATTAATAATTGTATTCACCGTACTGCCAGTATTGACCTGAAGACACCCATACGTGGCACGCCCGCAGAATACCCTTGTAACGATCCGGTTCGCATTCATCTGGGCGGAGAGAGATCGTTTGTGAATGAGCGAACATTCAATGGCCGCACTTTTGATCTCGGCGTTATTAATTATCCGCAAGTAGCTGCGAACGTTTGGATCCTTTTTTCCCTCCGCTCGCCTAGAATTTCGTAAATCATCTAAACTCACCCGATTCCTCTTGATGGGTTCATCGGCACCAACCGATCTCGAGACTCGTGTCTGCGCTCTCGTTTACATAAATAAAAAAAGATATTAGTACAAAATATCTAAATAAACACATTCGAACAAGCTCTTTCTCCCGTGCTCTCGTTATTATCGAAATTATCCCTGTACAACGCATACGCTCGATTGGCGGATGTAGGCGTTTCGAAGATTCCAGTTCGATCTCCTCTGATGATCGATTCCCGCGGCTAGATCACCGAGACTCGAGATCGCCCGAGGTAAGTCAGAAATCGTTCGGTAGGTGACCTTTATCGCCTTATTAAAGGATGCACTCTCTGTACTTTATACTTTTTCCTAACAAATGCTCTTATCTGCCGTGCATGCGCGCTCTTATCTCGATCCGATATCGAGTGTACACGCGGATCCCTTCCTTCGGAATACGGGGCATACTTAACACAGACCGTCATTACTTAACGGAGAGTAATAAAGTTGTATTACCAATTAGCCCGTCGTGCGAGCACGCGCATCAACGACTCTCCGATAGCCTGGTAGCTTATCGTAGTCAAGATCGTTGCGAGCCGCCTCGTTTCGGTCCCGCGATGAGGATAAAATCGGCGATCCGAAAGAGGGATAATCATTGTTATCTCATGAGAGCTCTCTCTCTCTCTCTCTCTCTTCAGCTCACTCGTTTCGGACGATGAGCAAGCTGGCTGAGAATCGACACACCAGCGGCAGGTGGATGCAAAATTCGCGAACTCGGTCCCCTCGGTGAATATTAAACGGGGGGTGAAGGCAGATTACGGAGCCCCCGACAATTTTCTCGTTGCACAATGATGCGCAATAATTGTACATGCTGGCTAAAGATGTTGGCCGGCGTTGCTACAAATCCTCACTCATCGCGCCGCCCGGTTGCGGTCCGAAAAAAAGAATCCGGAAGTACGTAAGGGACGAAGGGACCTGGCCTCGACTTGTAGTTTGGCAGAGCGATTTTTATTCACAACGGGTGGCGGTAACCCAGAGAGAGAGAGAGAGAGAAAGGGTCGGGGATAAAGGGAGCCCTAGGGGGGATGGGGGAAGGGTGGACAAGAGATGGAAAGACAAACAAATGGATAAGTGTGAGTGTGTCCAGGAACGTAATTAATGGGTAGTTTGGCGGTCGGCTGGACAGCTGTCCTCTTTTTTCTACGACGACGGACGGAACCGTGTAGCCGACGGAACGTCGCGGCAACCGAAAAGTGGAGAATGAGAAAGAGAAACGCGGAAACCTCCTCACGGTCCAACTTAGACACGGCTCCAGACATGGCGGAAGGAACAAGATGGATTACCTGACACTACCGGACAAGATCAATTGAATTTCTATTTGGACGTAACCGCCCCCTAGGTGCCCCCTTTCGATCCTACGAATCTCTCCCTCCTCCCTCTTTCAACCCTGCGCGAGCGTTAACGTCTAATTCTTCTCTCTCTCTTTCTACAGCCGTCGTAGATCCTACAATCTTCCTATGTATTTTTCTGACGATATAATAATACCTCGTATTTTTTGCATTTTATCTTTGTAGGTCTAACGTGTATGGAAAGTATTAAAAAGGAGATTATAACACAGTTGAAATGTTTCTTTCATATCCTAACAATGATTCGATATGTCAGAAAAATTTATTAAACACATCTGCGATATACATAATTATCATATATGCGTGAATTATAAGAGTATAATATTTTCAACTTTTGCAGTAGAAAAAATATATTGTACAAACGACAAATAAGAAATATTACAATAACACATATATAATTTAGTTTCTTAAAAAAAAATTAATAAAAATTTGCACACACACACACATATATTACGTGCTTGTAAATTAAGGTAATTACAAATAACGAAACTTTTACCGGAAGTTTTCGTACAGTAGCATGTTTGATAATTTTCGCGGTGGTCCTCTCTTAATTTTTTACGCGCATAATGAAATAAAACAGCGGAGGGTCACGCATCCTTCTTTCGCTGTCTCTCTGGCGGTCTGAGTAATAATAAATGACTTCGGCAGTAGCTGTCTAATTACCTTCATGGACACCGCACAGATGCACGATGCAAGTACTGATAATCACGTAACTTTTTTGTCGCCAGTTTTTACTACGTCGGTTGAATTTGTAGCATTCAGCTAATTAATAAAGTAACAGGAGAAAGAGTTTGCTTGAAATTGCTCAAGAATGCCTATGAATATTTTATATGATACACATTATCTTTCATTTCTTTTAATAAATTGTTTCCTATATTCAAACGAAAGGAATATTAAAGTGCAATTAATTGTCTACTAAGTTGTACTATCAGATATTCTGTCGCAAAAACGATACGCAATCTATATAATTTTTTCGTACATTAATTAATTGTGTAAAAAAGATATGTAGTTTCCAAGTATGATAAAAAAGTATAATAAATCATTTTATCGTTAAATGAGTAAGCATATCATTAAATGCATTTCATTGCACAAATGTATTATTAGAAAATGACATCGATTATACACAATATATATAGATACACATTATATACATATTATAAATACAATATACAATTCCAATACATATTATAAATTGTACAATACACGTGCGATATTTAATACAGTATACCGATACAAAACGGTAACGCATCGTCTGAATTTACAATCGTGCATCGTTCATTTCTTAGCGAATGTCATGTCATTGCTTGACGTATCGCTCGGAACAAAGTATAAGCATTTTTGCAGTCAATAACCGATAATAATTATCGCGCATTCGCTGACCGATTCGCCGTCTATTGTGTACATCGTAGGATTATTTTTCTCGACAACGCACGCATACGATTACAAATAATCGCATAATCACACCTAATGACCGTGACGCGAAGAAGCGTAATGATAACGAGCGACAATAAAATAATCGAACATATCGAGCGACCAGTCGCGTCAATCGGCCGTAAGTTAGCAGTAAACATGAGGATATATCGAATACAGGTCGTAGCCGAATATAAGGTGAATCGGGGCATTAACGAGATTCGGGGTGGCTCGCTAAATACCGGCGCCACGGTTTATTTCTACACCCTCGCGCGAGATCTCGCGGGTTCGTCTGCGAGATCTCGCACGGAGAGCTCTCTGTATGTATGTATGTATATATACCGGCGACTTCGGCCAACAAACCTGGCAATGCATCGTTAGAGCCCCGACTGGCTGGCAGATAAATGACGTGGTCGCCTCAGAT